TAGGGCTTCAGATCCATATGGCCAAACCATTTTACAGAAAGGAGGCAGTCATTTTCTTGAGCAACTTGGTAGTCTCCCAACTTGATGTTATTTCGGTTTGATTTAACAGGCAATTATTGAACACTTGCTGTGTGCAAAGGCTAGAAGCAGCTGGGCCAGTGGGAAATCAAGCTGATGACAGGGTTATCAGCAAGTAGACACCTGGTAGCTGAAGCCTGGGTGTGTGAGAATTTGCCAAGGGAGGGTAAACAGTGCCCAGGGCTGCTTCAATAAAGGTCAATTAAGATAAGGACAAGCAGTGGCTTCCTGCCAGGGGCAATAGCAGGTTTCAGGGGATGATGGGAGAGAAAGCCAACGGCAGTGTGCTGAGGGTAGAGTGAATGGTGAAGATGCAGAAGCAGCGAGTGTGGACAACAGCTCTGAGAGGTTTGATTCTAAAGGGAAGGGTGAGAGGGCACCAGACACTGGGGTCTAGACTGTTCTTAGCGGGCTGCAGGGGGAGCGATGTTTACAGGTGAAAGGGAAAGAAGCAGTGGAGAGTGACTTGTGGTCACTGATGCACTGAGATGCCTGGCAGCTTGGGGAGGCAGGAATACACCACAGCGAATTAGCTCTGAATTGGAGTTGAGGGCAAGGCCTGAACACCCTGGGATGAAGTTGAGAGCAGGTGCACAGAGGTTTGCAGACGGAGGTGGTGAGAAAATCCTGCTTGATAGAGTCCTTTCTCTTTAAAGCATCAGCTCAATCCAGAGATCTTTGAGGCCTCCTTGGAACTAGGACTATTATATCCTTGGCACCTGATAAGGGAGTGTTATGGGCTGAATTGTGTCCCCTCCTCAAATTCATATGTGAAAGTCCTAACCCCCAATACCTCAGAATGTAACTGCATTTGGAGGTAGGGTCTTTAAATAGGTAATTAAGATTAAATGAGATATAAGGGTGGCCCCTAATCCAGTAGGATTAATGTCCTTATAAGAGGAAGAGACATCAGGGATGTGTGCACAGAGAAAAGGCCATGTGAGGACACAGCGAGAAGGCAGCCATCTGCAAACCAAGGAGAGCAGCCTTCAGAAACCAAACCTGCTGACACCTTGATCTTGGACTTCTAGCCTCCAGAACTGCGAGAGAATAAATTCCTGTTGTCTAAGCTACTCAGTCCGTGGTATTTTGTTATGGTAGCCTCAGCTGACAAATACAGGGAGGAACCGAAGGGGGTGAGAAAAGAGGTGAGGGCTTTATGTTGAAGTCACCAGCATCTGTGGCCTTGGAATGCTGATAGATATATAAAAAGGTAATCATGTTAAGCAAAACAAAGACATTTTCACTCAGAGGATGGGCATTGATGTAAGACAGACCTGAGTTTTCCATCCAGCAAGTCATATAACCTTCCTGAGTTTCAGACTTTTTATTTGTAAAAATGAGATAACCAAACCCACCTCAGAGGGGCGTTGTGAAAGTAAAATGAAATGAAATATGGAAAACATTGAGCACACTACCTAGTAAACAGCTGATGTTATCAGGAAAGGCGGAGTGTAACTAGGCTGTGTTGTTTTGTTAGTATTATTGAGACAGAAATAAATTACCAGGGCATAAGTGCTTGCATTCACACTCTGTCATTTGGTGAGGAACGTGGGAGGATATGGTGCACACATACTGGCTCACGTATAGGGCTCCGTACTGACTCGGTTGTAGAATCATCACAAAATATAACCCTAGGAAACCAAACTCAGAGAGGCTGACCCATAAGATGTTTGCACCCAGCATTATGCCTGGCACATAGTAGGCAGTCAAAAAAGTATTGGTGAATGCATTTATGAATGAAGAGAGCTCACTGAGAATGTTAAAAGACTGAACATCTATAACCATCTGTTGATGGATGTATTAGTCAACTTTCTTCAAGTTACAAGTGTCAGAAACCCATTCAAACCAGCCTAAGCCAAAAAATTAAAATAAATTTAAAAAATTTACAAATGGAGGAGGAATTTGTTGGCTCAGAAACTGACAAGTCTAGATGTCTGCTTCAGGTACGGTTGGATCCAGGGACGAAGAGATGTATGGAGTGGTCTTCTCTTCTCTTCTTGCCTATATTGGCTTTACACCCAGGCAAGTGCCCTCCACATGGTAGTCCTGGCAGCTCCCTCCAGGTTTCCACCCTCTGTACACCAGCAATCCATCCAGAAGAAAGGGAGCCTCCCTTTCCAAACAGCTCTAACTTGAGTCTTGAATGGACTCTGAGCCACCCAGCGACAGTCATGAGACCATCCTTATCCAATCAGCACCACTCCAGGGCCTGGGAGGAGGGGAGGGATAATTTCCCAAGGAAAAACAGGGAGCTTTCGCCAACAGAAAGGAGATAGGCAGGCAGACACCACGGCTGCCCACTGGACTGAGCGTATCTGGAGAGGAGGCAGGTAACTCATGGGTGACTAGGTAAGTGAGAGTGAAAAGGATGCCACTTTAAGGACACATGAGGTTGGGTAATCAGAGCTGTGCTGGGTCCAAGCACGCTGGGGGCCTCTGAGGATTTTAAGGAGGCTGGGATCAGCACCAGGGTGCCTGGCCAAGGGGGCATGTTGTAGACCGATTGCAAAATGGCCCTGATTTTCCACCTGACTCTGAATCCACACCCTCTGTAATGTGGTTTTGCAGCATCTCTCATCAAGAGTGGAGACTATTTCCCCTCCCCGAGAATCTGGGCTGGCCTTGTCACTTGCTTTGACAATAGAATGTGGCAGAAGGGATGTTGTGTCAGTTCTGAGCTTAGGCCTCAAGGGGTCTTCTGTGCCTCTGCTTATTCTCTTGGACCCCTGCCTCTGCCAATGTGAACCATCCTGGCTATTTGGCTGGGGGATGAGGCCACATGAAGCCATCCCAGCTGTCCCAGCCAAGGCCCCAGACATGGGAGAGAGCCCTATATTTTTGGCAAAGCTGCTTAGCTGACTCACAGAAGACTGTAGACACCCGAGTGAGTCCACTGAGCCCAGCACAGGTCAGAACCGCCCAGGCAACCCATAGACTCATGAGCAGTAGTGGCTGCCATTTTAAGCCACTGAGTTTTCGGACACTTTGTTACACAGCATTGTGTGGCAAGTAGATAACAGTTACAAGGCATGACAGGGAGAAAACCTAGTTAGTGCTTGGCTTGCCAACCTGTGCCCCCTGGCATGGGGCTGGATCTACCTGCAGAGGGCATGTGTTGCTAACTTGCAGGAAAATGACATATGAGCTACCTGGGGCTGGGGGATGGCCTCTTCACAGCCTGGTGGAGTCTATAATGTCTACGGATCTCACACAGAGATTTTAATGACCTTCTGACATGTTTTTCAGAGACACAGGCTTTGAAAATTCATGGAAATTATCTAGCTTGAACTGCTAGGGAGAAATGTACACCATTAGCCACATCTGGGTACATTTCCCCCTCCCCACTGAATTATACATTTTGGTTTAGCCAGTGTTATATGGTGGCTGCGAGTGGGGAACAAGGAAAGAATATACTGGGCCTCAAACAGGGGTCTGTGGGAGACTAGGAAGGACTGAATGGGTCCCAAATACTGCCCAGGAGCAACATTAGCCATTCGATTGTAGTGGGAGAAAAAGAATCCAAGGGATGAGTTTAAAGCCCATTTCAGACTTCTCTGGAAGAAAGTTAAGGAAAGAGATAACTGCAGTTGCCTGATGCCCAGAGTTGCCAATTGGAGAATGGAAAGGATGAAACAAGTTAGCACACCCCGCTGCCCACAGCATCCCCTGCTCACAGAATCCAGGTAACTCCTCCTCTATCCCCAGTCTTCACCAGGGGCTCCACCCACAGGTAAAACGGCCTCTGGAATCCCAAATATGTCCCAGATTGTGTCATCCGCCCCCTTAGCCTCCTCTACTCACCTGACTTGCTCCAGGGAACATCACCACCACCCATCCACCACCTAAACATCTCTCCGTTCTCTCTGCCCCCGCCTTGATGACCCCCATCCCACTCCCGGATTCCTCACTTCAAAATGGCCACTTCTAAACTGGATTTAAGTTTGTCACTGGATAAAAATCTCAATTCTGCAGTCTGACAGAGAGAGTTTCCCTAATCCTTTCCTATATCTCCACCGGGCTTCTCTCCTGCCTGTCCCCCTACTGGGCTGTAGCCAACTGCAGTTTCTTGCAGCTTCCAAGACCCAGGCTCGGGGCGCACGCCCTCAGGTCCCTGTCCCTGGGGCTCTCCTTCCTGCCTGCTTTCTTCCGAACAGCCCCAGGAGGCCCGGACTGGGTGAGGGACCTCCTGGCCTTATGCCCACTGGTGTGGTGGTTCAAGGGCGTCTGTCTCCTCCTCGGCGGGTCAGTGCTCCGGAAGGTCCTTGCTCCGCGAGGGCGTCCCCAGGGCCCGTTCGGAGCAGGCTCAGAAAGGCGGTTCAGACGTCCTTCCTCGGGGCCGGGAACGCTCTGACCACGCCGCCGAGGGGCGGACGCAGACGCTGCCCCGAGGCCGCGGCCACTTCACAGTCCCCTGCCGGTCGCAGCGCCCGCTCCCCGGGACCCCGACGTCCTGAGGGCGCACAGCCAGCACTCGATTGAAGGCCGGGGTGCGGGACGGGGGAGGCGGAGGAAGCCGGCGGAGCTAGGGCGCAAGGCCGGGCCCGGGGGCGCACGGGCGGCCCGTTGTGACCACATGAGCGCCCAGGTGGCCGCGGTTCCCTCTCCCCGGGAAGTCGGCGAGTCCGCTGCCCCGCGCCCCAGCGCTCGCAGCCGGGAGGGGGCCCGGCCGCAGCACCGCACCTTCGCGGGCGGCCGGAGCTCCCCGGCTGAGGTAGCTGGAGCCGC